AAAAAGAAATCGGAAGCTTCATGTCTGTTCTCTCTCTGTGCCGTAGTAAAGGCGTTTGCTAAGCAAGACGTTGCATCACTGCAAGACTGTCAGAAAGATATGAAGAAGAAAATCCACAGGGTCAGATTCTCAGCTGTTTAAATCCACAAAGCTCCACTGAAGTCTGTGAATTTGTGACAGTTTAAAGCATACCAGCTGACCAGTCTGAACTTATTTAAGTTTCTCAGCTCCAAGCACATTTGCCTTCTCTTTTCTGAGACACTAAGGGGCATATCTCTTTGTGTTTGTTGGCTGAGGAGCTCTTCAGGAAAAATGATTTTTCTTTCTTTGTAGCCCTTTACAGAACCTGCAATTTATAGTGTATTTTCAAAACCATCTGTTTCTCTTTTCATTAAGAATGTTGGCAAAGGCAATATTTCTAAACTTCTGCAAATAACATTCAGCCAAATATAAATTAATTAGTCATGCCATACTCTTCTGTTTCTGTGAGCCCATGCTTGAATATATAGGAGAAGCTTGGAACTGAGACATGAATACGAGGAGTTCACTTTATTACTGGAAACTTTATGGAGCTACAACACCCCTTTTCATAGGCAGTTCCAAGGAAATCCTGAACAAACAGCACCCTGAACAAAGCAGCTATCTAAGCCCTCAAGGATTTTGACATTGCCAAGTGTGCTTAAGCCTTTAGGTAAGGCTTATGAAATAACTCGTCAGCTAAAGGCAGGAGAGAGGGAGTTAGAACCTGGTTGCAGTTCTCACTAGTTCAATCCTTGAGTAACTGCACTGCAGTTAAAATCTAGCTTTACACAACAGCAGCAGAGATCAGAATCTGGCACATCTCTTCACTGGTCATTGTTACTTACATGCTTCTGCCCTCCCACAGCTCTATTATCTTCAGAGGAAATACTCCTGATTCATCCAGATCCTGGCCTAAAGTGTCTATTTTTACATAATTATTTACAATATCATGTTAGCCTGCCTCATTTCAGAGTCAAAGCTTTGTATGAAACGGAATTATTTTGCTCTTGCCATCCTTATGAACCTTACCTCTGGTAACTTCTGTCTCTCTTTTCCTTGCTTGAGTTGCTGCCCAATATGCCTGGCTGAGTTCCTCGGCAATTCTTGCTTTCCTTGCTCAATCTGGAGCATTTCTAAATACTGACTCAATGTCTCACAACCCCCATCGGTGAATTCAGAATTTGCCCATGTCCACTTATCTTTGCAGCATTTTGCATTACACGGAGAAGCCGCTGTTGATTTTTCATAGTTTTTCAGAAGCTTTTCAACAACGCCATAGTTCGACCTTGAGTCAGCTGAACGCGGGCGACCGGATAAATTACTTGGTCTCCAGTCATGCTCGTGAAGCATGTGCCTATAACCACTAGTATTTGGAAGTCCATTTATTTGCTTTTGTTGCCCTGCCGTTCTGACAGCTTTGCTGGGGTTGCTAGTTTCTTGCTCCTTTGCCACAGAGAATTTGGGATTTGAAACACAAGATGTATTTACAGTTTCTGTCCTGCCGATAGCAGAGTCACACAGTGGGCCGCAGGGTTTGTGATCTTCTGATGTTGTTTGAGGCACCTGGTTTTCTTGCAAAGCATTGGTACGTTTATCCGTGTGAAATACAGTCCGGTTAAACTCATCGATCTTTGCTGCTAAAGTTTCATTTCTTGGGGTCTTTCCCAAAGTGTACCTAGAGTCTGCCAAAAGATCATTGTGCAGGGTAGCAGGGGCATAAAAGTCATTACTGTAATAAGGGCTGCTGTAGGACTTGGGATTTTGTTTCTGGTGCATCTTGCTGCTTTGTGCCATATTTCCATCTGAACTACTCTTTTGGGATGACAGTGGGGAAGGTTCACTTTTATTGTCTTTTCCAAGTTTGCCCACATCACATGTCCACGTGTTGTGGCAGAAACTTGTTGGTACATTGCACTCATTTTTGGTTACAGGTATTGCAGCAGTTACCATCACAGGAACTTTCACAGCCTGCCCTTCATTTGCACAGGCTGCTGCAGTTTCATGCTGGTTTATAGGTGAAGGATTCATCAGTTTCCTTCCACTCCTACAGTCCTGAGCCTTGCAATTGCTTTTGATGCCTGGATCTCTTATTGGTGCTTCAGAAAGCTGTACAACTGCAGAAAGTGAGTTTGTTAGATGCCGGGAAGTGCTCCGTGGAGGAACTGGTGGAGCTTCTTTCTTTTGCCAAGATCTGAAGTCTGTTCCTCTGTCACCAGTAAGGCCACCATAACATCTGTCCTTCAAAGCCTTGGTGGAGTTCATCAGATTCTTCCTATTATTATGTTCCTCTGTTTCAAAAGCAACTGAAGTCTGTGATTCGTTGCTGGACACATGGTTCATCTCAGGCAGAATAACTGTGTCTCGTGTTTCCTCAAATTCCCCCAGAAAAGGAAGTGATTTCATTCTGGAAATAAAAGGAGAGGTGTTTTAGGGATGAGCAATAAGAGTATTCCCCAAGGGGATCTCAGCATGGATTCATTCTCCCCATGAGCAGGTATTTTAACACTGGCTGCGTATAAAGATTTGGGAGCAATTTTGCTGCTGCTGATACACCTGGCATATTTGAAACATACATGAAGAATTTAAAGAAAGCTCAACAAAGGGAATCTTTTATTTCTTTCCCTTGCCACTAAAATTCTTTTCCTCAGTTTTTGTAGATGATTGTTTGTTTTCTTACCTATCCTACAGTAAGGACAGTGGGATCTTGTGAGTTCTAATGACTCCACTGACTCCACTGAGAGCCTACCTAACTATGAACTGAATGAAGAAAGCTTTAGGACATAGTGCATCCCTTGTGTAGGTTTCCTAACATTACACACGACAGTACAAATGTTCAAAAATCACCTTTCTCAGCCAGGATTTAGAAACTATGCATCAGTTATGAATCTATTTGCTTTAAAGATACAAACACTAGCCCAGCTACAATAATAAATCAGTGATAGCCAGTCAACTGATTGTGTGAGTGAGCGTAAGAAGTCCCTGTGTTCTTTGGGAGCATCTGAGAAGAGCTTGCCATGATGTAGTCTTCCATGGGGTCTCAGCATAGCTGAAGCATAGCTTCTCTCAAGCTCTTTCATGGTGTGCACCCTGTCACACCATGGGTCCAGTCTTACCTTTTGAGAATTTCTGCACAATTCAAGAGAAAGACTGATGTTTAGCTTGTTAAAGGAGACCATGAACATTTAATTTTTAACAGATGGCGAAATATTCATTCGCCATACTTTTCAGGGTCTGGTTTACCATCTTTCCATTAGTACAAATGTATGGTTGTTCTTCCTTCTCTTGCCTTCTTTGCACTCCATGTCAGTCCCTGACTCAACCCCCACACTTAAGGCTAGATCTGGGCTTAATGTAAGAAACCTCCCAGCCTGACAAATCCATACGGTGTTGCACAGAACTGCATGGAAACAGGACCAGGGCAGACAAATATCTGTTCACTTTCCCAATCCTCCATATAGCCATTTGAAACAAGTAAAATTTCATCTCGTACGAATACTAATTTCATTTTGTAGGTTCTATAGATAAACTCCATTTTGCTAGTAAAACGTGCCCTTGTATCATATTTCAGTATATTCCATTTGAATGTTTTATGCTGAGCATTGAAACACTAGGAGGATAGAAACTGCCCAATTCCTAATAAATTCAACAGAAAATCCCCTTCAAAGTGAACAGGAGCATTAGTCTCATTATTAATTTTCTTCCTCTAATATAAAGAGTCCAAATATGTTTTTACCTCCTGTGGTTGGACTTCTTTCGAATTTCCTCTTGATAGCTGCATAATTCTTCACTGACTCTGGCAAGTTCTTTAAGAGCCTTTATAAATATAAAAAGAGTCCTTTAACATAATTCTTTTGAATGATATCTCCAGAATTATTTTAAGACTTGTAGTGATTTGCATTTAAGACTCACAGCAGAGGAAAGCAGCACAAGGAAAGATACAAAAATGCCCCCGGGTTATGAATGGAGGTAAAGAGCATGCTGTTAACACAGTGAGAAGACACTCATCAATAGCAAACTGAGGAGGAAGTAGAGACACTGCCTTGCTGGAAAGCTAAAATCAGGGAGATCAGTTCTTTAGGTTAACCTGGCAGGCCAAAGCCCTCAGTATTTTCCTGACCCTTGTAACTAAGCATGCTCATACTTTACTTACTACATTGAGATCACCAATATAATTCTTGGTATTTTTCTTGGAAGTTTTGATGCTGAGGCTGTCTTCAGGTTCCTCATGGTTCTCAAAGGCCAGATTGTCTGTTAACAGAGTATTGTTTCTGCTCTTGGCTCTGATTTCTTTACATTCATGTCCTGTTTTACTGAGCAAGCTCCTTTTTTCTATCATGTCATTTGCCACATTGTGTTGATAGTTCAGCTCCGCTCTGTCACTCTCTTCTGAAGTGGGGGAATGCATGGACTGCTGCCGCATCTTGCTCTGAATGGCCTTATTATCATGGACGTTCATACTGCTCTCCCTTCTAAGTTTTACCTCTTGGTAAAGCTGAAAAAACAATAGAACCTTCTATTAAACCATGGTACTGTGATGAACCTTACAGTAAGAGAACATATCCATCTTCTGTTTTGAATGATGCTTCATTCAGTAGCACCAAGTAGAAAGATCTTATACGTGTGTTAGTGGAAAAGCATTGAGTCACATAGCGTAATAGGTCACAGATCGTTATTGTCACAGGATGAGAAAAGGGCTATTACCATCCACAAACTCTTTGCCATGGTTTTAATGTATGGCTTCCACCTATAGGATGGGATTGGAAGAGATGTCATAAGGTCAATGGCTCTGCCTTGAGTCAGAAGCTGTATAGTTGCCTTCCAAGTAATATCAGCACACTATATGGTGGACACAGCCCTGATCTGATGGATGGGGAATGTGAGGGAGGGAGAGGGCTCTGGCAATGTTACAGCCTGTTAATGTGTATTAGTTTAAGGAGGGGAAGTGAAGTCTCATCACATACAGTGCCATCTGCACTACAGCACTCTTTTGGTTCTCAGGCAAGTGCAATTCTTCTCTATGACTGTAGTGATAAATCAGCACTGCAGAATTATTTGGCACATTATTTGGCAATGTACTGTCACCCTCTTATCTTCTTTCATGCTATCTACTGAGATCCAGCGGCTTCATTAGTAAATGAAAAGGTGTTAATTCCTGTCACCCAGCACATTCAAACTAGGGAACTGTGATAAATTATAAATTAGAAAAAATAGCAACATCATAAAACCCTCTTCTGCTTACAGTATCATTTCCAGTGCCAAGAATCCCACAGCTCCTTATAAACATTCATTCTTAACTTGCTCTTATGAAGAAAGCGCAGAGCAGGCACCTCTGAACAGCCGTCTGCTTGCCCTCTTGCAGTGCACAAGGCCAACACAACAGCTTTTGGAAGGACAGTGAAAAGAATAACAACAGGAAGAACATGTGGCCATTTCATGGGCAGTGCTGTTGATTAGAAGTATTCTCATGTTCAGTGACTTGACACTTGGCCTCATCCTGGGCTTTTAGATTTCATTCCCAAAGCCCAGCTGCTCATGGAACCTGAGAGTTGAACTTCGGAATTTCCAAGAAATGAGGGCCTCATACGAACTCGACATAGCAGTAAGGAGGAAAGATATCACTTCATAACTCAACAATCTAATCTCCTAAACCACACAGGTCTTCCTGGAGGATTCCAAGAATTAAGTTAGGTTTTGGTAGGCTAGACAAAGCTACCAAATAAAAATACAAGCTAATAAGGTAGCACAAGTTTTATTGAGGAAATTGCTCTACAGATGATGGCATTTAAAAGGTACCTCCCCTTTTCTCCACCTGTGTTGGCAAAGAAATGTCAGACAAGTGAAATCAAGGGCAGCTACAGACACAGCTTAAGAAGGGATCCTAGGATACTAATAACCTTGGGGTATCATCTGCAGTTTTGTCTGGTCTTGCAGTACCCAGTGATTTGCTTCATTCTCTTCCTCTCAGCTCCATTCCATTCTTTATCTGGTGTTCTGCCTCTGTCACACTTTCCTAATCCATATGTTAACACAAAAAATGAAAAAACATGGCCTTCACTGCCATTATCAGGACTACTAGTAGCCAGGATACCTTTTCACAACACATTACCATCATTCCAAAACAGCTCATATACCCAACAAACTGAAAATCATCTACAGACACAGACCACATTACTAACTTTTGAAGCACTCCTACCTTGGTGGTGAAATTAAGTAAGAGAGCACAGAAATGTCCTAACACAAAAGACAAAATGCAGCTTTCATACTAAGGGTATCATACTAAAGTCTGCCAGAACTATGCTGCAGGCTGGTTTAACGGGCAGCGTATGGCTGCAACTCATTTGGCTCTGATCATTTTCCTTCTCTTAGTTTCATGTGAGCAGTCTCTGCCATACATTCCTGTGTTGCTCAGCCACAGGACAGTGTTGGCAGAGAGCAAGAAAAACTACTCCATGTGTATATTAGAATGAAAAATGTGGAAAGCTCAGTGGTGAAAAATTTGCTTCTATATGTTGCCAAGGCAGATTCAGTTTATGCATTACAGAATGCCAGAGGGTTCTGCTGCAGTGACAATTTGGGGCTAAAAGAATAATAAATAATTACCTAAACTATTTCTGGAAGGAGAGCCATTAGAAATGGCAGAGAGTGTTTGTTACTATGTGTAAACACAAGTGGCGTCAGGACTTCCATGCTATTTACTGTAGCCGTTTTCTCTACTAAAAGCCACCCATAAATGGAGCAGGTTCTAGCCAGAATGATTCTGCATCATGCAGCATTTAATGTATGAAGTTGTTTTTAGTATTACCTTTTACCCCAGCACACCTGTGGGTGTGATTTGATTCCTTTTTGCCAGAGAATGATGACACCTAGATTTTTTGTTACTAAATATGATTTTTCCTAAACTCCATATATGTAGTTGTTCAGCATATCTGAACTTAAAAAAAGGATGTATAACATGAGCAGCGTGGCTGATGCCCAGCAGAACTGGCAGCAGTATATACAGCCAACAATATCACAGCAATCTTCACACAAAGTGACATTTAATCTCCTGCTTTGTATTCATGAGTATGAGCAACTGCAAATACTGCTTAGCCCCAGGCTTTGCATCCTACCATCAGCTATTAGAAACTTCCAGTGACAGATAAGAAATAGGATATAATTCAGAAAAAAAATAAATTGAAGCAACCCTTAGGCACTGATAAGACTCAAGTGAAAATGTTAGTGTTCAGAATTTTGTTTAAAAGTACCTCTTCTATTTTCTTCTGCATGACTTTCCATTGACATTCCCATTCTTTTCTTTCATTGTCAAATCTCTCCAGCAATTCCATCTTCTCTTTATTCCAGTTCCTCTCAGTGTTCTCGAGTTGTTTACGCAGGTCCATGGTTACAGTGTGTGTAATAGCAAGAAGATAGCTCTGCTTTTCTTCTTTCTTCCCTGAATGTTTCCTGGAAGTTTATCAGAATAAGTTTTACTTATGCTTGATTCTAGCTTTCAGGGAAAAAAACCAACCAAGCAAAACCCCAAAATAATTAACGGAAAAGTGCTTGCAGGAGAAAGCATCACACGGCTGCAGGATAAGTATCTGGAGCATGACTGGAATACGTACGAATTAAGCATTATAGGACACAAACCCAAGGGTAGAGAGGCCCAGTCTGGAAAGGGGAGGAGGGACATGCATCCAGCATCATAGAATTCAGGAATGTCTGCCACAGTGGGCTCTGTACCATGGCCACTTCACATTTTTGCCATGACTCTTCACTGTAAACCTGTTTTCAGTGAAATTCGAGTCTGCATGATATTGAATGGCACTTCAGGACCTTGGGATCCTGCAATGTCTGCCCTTGAGGGTGAAAGCTATTTTTACGTTTGTTCAAAAGACAACTGCAAGTGTAAAAGTATCATGTTTGCTCACACACTCCTTTCACACATGCATGTAGCACAACAAAGACTGAAAGACCGTACACCTGATACATGCAGAAAATTATCATGACTATATGAATGCTTTAGAATACAGGAAGGAAAACAGAAGAGGAAAGCTAGTAACAGGTAACAAACATACACATACAGTAGAAAGCATCATTCTGCTACATAAAAGACTATAGATCACTATAAAAAGTTGATGTATTTTGGATTTACAAATCTAAATCTATAAATGTTAGTTCTAGGACCAGCATAGGGAAAACTAGAAACTATTCTCCAACAGCACTAACTCAAATCTAGTTCAAAACCTTGCTCAGAATATTTAACTAATTTGTGCTTCACTTTCTCCTTCCCCTTCAGAAGTCTTTAGTATCTTAGTATCTGTGAATGAAAAAATAATAATCATACCACTAAATATGTATATTTTAAGGCAAATATTTTGGATCTGCTCATCTGACTTCAGAGCAAAACAGTTACAGATTTTATGGGCCTGGTGTTCCTCTTGCTTTCTTAGGCTTTACAATAGAAACTCCACTGCCATCACACATTTACTATGCCAGCAAGGCTGAAATAGCACTTACTCAGTTACGATGCTCTTGTGCTATAATGGCTGGTACACACACATAGATACTTGAGTTTACTCTCCATGTCAGCTGTTGTGTTACTTAGGTGGACACGGGATCTTGTTCTGGCCACAAAATGCCTCTGAATTGCTTTGGTCTCCTGACAGAAACCAAGCCCACGGGCAGGCAAATGAATTATCAGAGAGTTAACTAGGGGTAAGTCCAGTTTACCTTCCTGGAATTTCTTCATTTTCCCAACTGATAGTCAGTGATTGTCAACTCATAGGAACTGCCCACATTTTCTCTGATATAGTGAAAATTCATTCTTGAGCTTCATGCAAAGTTCTTCCCGTTCCTGTATTTTATTGGACAAGTCTTGTTGATTCAGCTGTGGCTACTGTGTAATCACTGCTTACCAGTGTCTGTGTTATTTCAGCTGACTGGGAAGCTGATGCCAAACTCAGCGTCAGCTTCTTTCATGAACAAGTAAGCAGAAGAGCTCAGGTGAAGCCCAACGGGTTAGTCAGGTCTTTGGGTCATAGCAAGTCCTGCTACAGGATCTATCAACTGCCATCCATTATTGGCCCAGTCCTAACTCAGGGGTTGCAAAACCATTTACCCCAGGCAATTTTGGACTGAGGACTTACAGAACAAGTTGACTATTCTTCAAACACCTTCAAACACCCCACTTCACAATGGTGTACCCATGTAACGTGGTATTGGAGCTTACTTTCAAACTCTGACTCACACCTGCCTTGGAGCTCTAAAATGGCAATCTATACCTCAGCTACCTACAAATACAGGACAGCTTTACAAAAACCATAAAACTCCCTAAAACTATGAGCTGATGAAAGACAGGATCATAAAAGAATACAAGCACTGGTTTGCTCATGGCTTCTTAGGGAAAGCAGCCAGGCTATAGAGACTGCACCTCTCCAGGCCAAGGTTTCAGCTTTGTGCCAGACTTTGGTGTAAGAGTTGACCGAAAACAACTTACAAAAAAATTCCACTGTACTTAAGATCTGTTGCAATCTAGGCATCTATTGCTAATGAACTGTAAAAACATTTCAGTACTTTCTCACTTTGCTAATTCAAAGGTTGCAATTTTAGTAGAGTCATTTGCTTTTTTAATTTTTTTTGCTACATTTATGTCTTTCTAACTTTCAAGACATCTCTGAGAAATAAACAAAGTCAACTCTCTGCTCCACTAGAATCCTTCAAATATGTGTCAGAAAGAAACAGAAAAACAGGTAAACACTGTAAAGTCATGAACAAGACAGGCAGGCATAATCTGTCTACAACTTGCACGAATGGTGATTTTGCTAGTGCACCATTAGCAATAATGACCATGCTTCAATCAGCAGCATATTACTAGAAAGTCAATACTATATGGCATTTTTTTTTTTCAAATGTAAGAGTAGATACGTAATATGTACTCCTTTCAAGCATGCATACAGCATTGAAAAGGTCCTTGGTGGTTTCTTAGTGCTGGGAACTCCTATTGCCATGTTTGCATCCATCTTAACAATTTCCAAGTTGTTTCATATGAGACTCTGACTATAAAAAGACTGGAGACCGTCAAAATGAAATCAAGTCTTGCAAGAGGGTAGTTATGGAAGTTACAGATAGTGACTTGTAGCTCTAACATCCACAAAAAGCTTGTATTTCTTAACGCTTCTCCGATTTCCTCTTGACATGAATTCTGAGAAGAAAACTCATGTTTATTGATGTTAACAGCTAGATGACTATACAGGTTTGCTGCTATTGTACAGTGGATAAATTCCTCTGAGAGTTTTAACTCCTATTTCTATGACTCTTTCCCCTTTTTTTTCCTTGGTGTTGGGGTGAGAGTTGTAAGAGGGTTTTTTTTTGTTTTGTTGTGTTGTTGTTGGTTTTTTCCTTGTTTTTTTCCCTACTAGCAATAAAATCGAATTTGTAGCCCTAGTAGTATACCCTCTGTCTATATAGTGCTGTGAGATGTCCCCATGGATATTTCACATGGCCTAAGCAACCCAAAGGGATGTAAAATGCCACATTATAATTTGCTGTGTGGATCAAAACAGTGTCTGTGCTCTTGCAGTATTGGCACTTTCTGCATGTCCTAGACAAGGTCAGAAGCTCATTATAGCAATCAAATTCAAGCAAATAATCAATTCTGTCTACATCAGCTGCATTTTCCCTTAACTTTTCCTTTAGCTCTCCCTCCTCTCAAGCAAAAAATGTTTACAAGCAAGTATTTGATGTTAATGCTATTATGCTCCCATGTCTTACTTGTGCCCTTTCTATCCACATATTAAAAATGCAAAATAGTTTTCAATCAACCTCTGTCAACTTCTGAAAATAATCTGCAGAGACATCAGCTGTTATTTGTCAACAGAGATTAATTAGATTGGATGTACACAACCATTCAGATACACAAATCTTCCCTTGATTTTACAGAAAAAAAGTAATGAAATTATATTTCCAGCAAAATGCTGTATTTTAGATAACTAAGAAAATTGTAAATATATGTCTTTGTTCAGCTATAAAAGTGTGCCATGTGTCACAATACTGTGCACTTTATACATAAAAAGAAACTACAGTTGAAAGAGAGTGAAAGAGAGAAGGGAATGAAAAAAGAAAGATAAATCAAAGGAGATAAACAGTGAAAGAAAAAAGTGAAAGAGAGACAGAAAGAAAGAAAGAAAGAAAGAAAGAAAGAAAGAAAGAAAGAAAGAAAGAAAGAAAGAAAGAAAGAAAGAAAGAAAGAAAGAAAGAAAGAAAGAAAGAAAGAAAGAAAGAAAGAAAGAAAGAAAGAAAGAAAGAAAGAAAGAAAGAAAGAAAGAAAGAAAGAAAGAAAGAAAGAAAGAAAGAAAGAAAGAAAGAAAGAAAGAAAGAAAGAAAGAAAGAAAGAAAGAAAGAAAGAAAGAAAGAAAGAAAGAAAGAAAGAAAGAAAGAAAGAAAGAAAGAAAGAAAGAAAGAAAGAAAGAAAGAAAGAAAGAAAGAAAGAAAGAAAGAAAGAAAGAAAGAAAGAAAGAAAGAAAAAAGAAAAAGAAAGAGAAAGAGAAAAAGAGAAAGAGAAAGAAAGAAAAAAGAAAAAAGAAAAAGAAAGAGAAAAAGAGAAAGAGAAAGAAAAAGAGAAAAAGAGAAAGAAAAAGAGAGAAAGACAGGAAGAAAGAGGAAGAAAGAAAGAGGAAGAAAGAAAGAAAGAAAGAAAGAAAGAAAGAAAGAAAGAAAGAGAAAGAAAGAAAAAAGAAAAAAGAAAAAGAAAGAGAAAAAGAGAAAGAGAGTTCTGTTGCTATATCTGTGCCTGCTCTGAAGAAATTGACTGAAGCTAATCAAGAGTCTTTCTCTAAGAATAAAGACCATATATATTACATGCATGAACACCACATTACATATAAATAACATTAGAGAGATGTTTAAATAACTGTTTGCCACATTAGTAATTTGCTTTCTTTTTTAATTTTAACTGTTCAAATCGACTGATTTAAAATAAACTGTAACCATACCTTTCATGGAATAAGAAATCCTTCAGAAGTTTTTCCGTCCGTTTCTAAACAGCAGTGAAAGCGATGAAATGCATAGCTAGCTGGGATCCAGTTCTGTGAATCTTGATCTTTAAAAGAAATAAGAACGCTAAGCAAGACGCAACCTTTCAACTGGGGCAGCATTTGCAACTCTCTTTGAATAACTCTGCAACTTTTGCAAACTGAAAAACAGTTCCGTTCAGCATCATCCCAGCAGCTGGCTTCCACGTGACGTCAGTGCACAGAGGATGGTTTTAAAGCCATCTCTTCCAACCCCCAGCTCTGTAACTTTATATCTCCTCATATTTTGTGTAAACAACTCCAAGTCCAGGACATTTTTAGGTTTTATAGCACAGTCCAGTCTTTAAAGCTTGCCAGAGCAGTCAGTGTTAACATTAATGCTATGACAATAGGCAATTTTAGGTTTCTTTTATTAGTGTCCATGCTGTAAAAGAAGATTCTTTGCTGCCTTTCAGATCCAGTTTTCAGGGTTGTATTTTTTAGTATGACCATTTTGAGCTTTGCAACTTGATCCTCATAAACTGCTTTGTGAAGGGAGTTTGTTTAAAGCAGCAGTTTTGTTGGTTAACAGCTATCTTAAAGAGCTAAAAGCAAACCACCCCTCCCTAAAATCTTTTTCTGTGTTCTAAATATGCTATTGCTTATGAAGTGCAGAATTATTGGGCACTGTGTAATCCTACTGTCTTGCATTCTGGGAATGGTGATAATGATTTCTTTGGGATATACCCAAATATTCCTGCTACTTTATAAGGTTTCTGGATCAGATTCTTTGGTCTGTTAAGGTACTTTGTGTCTCAGCAAAGCAAAGTGCTTGAAGTTGGATGGACGATATCCCTTGCGCAGGGAAACTCATCTCTGGCATAAGATTAGCAAGGAACGTCCAAAGCCACCTCAGCCTGGATTTAAAGCACTGGGAGTGACCATAGCAAGTGTCGGCATGGGGTGAGGGAAGGGAACGTGCGTGACAAAAATGATCCAGCAAGTGCAAGCCCACGGGAGTCCCTGAAGCCAGCGTAGCGAAATTTAGCTGCTCCCCCTGCTGAGCTGCAGGCAGGAGGAGCTCAGATGGCTCCTTGCATCCCTGCCCACCACAGTATCTCTCCTGTTGCACTACGTAACAAATTGTTTACGTATGTCACACTGAGAGAGACCCCCCGGGCAGAAGCTTCAGGCACATACCACCGCCCTGCCGCATACTTGTTCTTGGACGCGTCTGTGGACAGTGATTGAGGCCACCCATAGTCCGAAAATTCACATTTCAAGGAATGTTTGTCTCCACCTGTACCTGGAGAAGGGCCACAAAATACTTGGCTTGCACAGCATAAAACTCTGGACAAATTCTGCTATCAGATGGGTGTCTTCAAATGCACTAAGCAGGAGTGATGTATGATTTTGTGGGCAGAGCAGCTGATGACAAGAGGATCAGTGAGATGAAGGACGCGATAGGAGGATTCACACGTCCTTTGCTCAGTCAGCACTCTCCTCTTTAGAACAATAAAGTTTTATCTGTGATAAAATCCATGCACAGCATAAAGATTTTAGCTCTGGGTGCATTTTATAGTAAATACCAAAGCAGGTTTCAGGGAAAACACATTTTTTCTCCTTATATGGTCTAGCTGTAAGTCTCAGTGAATACATTACTTAGGTGCTTATTCTGCTCCCATGTAGCACAAATAACGGGGCTTGTGAGAATTTCAAAGATGATCTAAAAAGCGAACAAAGATGCCCAAGTACATGACTGAACGTTCTTGAAGAAAATCCTCAGCCTCTGAACTCTGAGGATTTAAAAATTCCCTGTTCATAAAGCAACAGTGTGACTTTCTTTTGGGAGGTTACGTCCCAACACGCCAGCTGACATGGCTGGGAGCAAAGCCTGAGTGCCTGGGAGCAGAACCAAGCCCACAGCTGGAGGCCAGGTGCCACAGTGCTGCCTCCTCCCCAAAGCCAGCACAGCTGCACCACTGCAAATGAAGATAGGCTCTGAAGAGTTTTTTACTCTTATCCATCAGCATAGGTTATTATTCTTGTGTCTTCAGTACTGCTAACTCAATGCCCCTTGTCTTGTAACATGAACTCTTTGAAGTAAAACAGTAAAATTAAAGAAAACAATGGACTGAATCCCAGACTTGAGTTTTCACTCAGGCAAAATCCTACATTTCTGTCAGCGTGAGGAATTAGAAATGTGTGAGACTGAGTGGCTTATTAGAAGACAAGAGCTGGACCCCACTCATAGGTCAAAGGGCTATGCTAAACTCATAGAATGGTTAGGGTTGGAAGGGACCTTAAAGATCATCTAGTTCCAACCCCCCTGCCATGGGCAGGGACACCTTCCACTAGATCAGGTTGCTCAAAGCCTCATCCAGCCTGGCCTTGAACACTTCCAGTGATGGGGCATCCACAACTTCTCTAGGCAACCTGTTCCAGTGCCTCACCACCCTCAGAGCGAAGAATTTCTTCCTTAGATCTAATCTAAATCTCCCCTCTTTCAGTTTAAATCCATTGCCCCTTGTCCTATCACTACATGCCCTTGTAAAAAGTCCCTCTCCAGCTTTCTCACTCTAATATGGCAAAGGCAGAGAAAAGTTGGGACAAAGCTCGAAAAACTCAGGTTCATTGCTCCGGACACCCTTAAGTGTAGCAGTAGTGACTTTTGCTTTTGGGGAAAAAAAATTATCCAACAGCAGCAGATGAAGCAGCAAACGTGGCTTTCTGGCCTCTGGCACAGGCAAGATAAGCAGGAAGGCTGCTACAGGTTTATTATGTCTGACATACTGCTTCCACAGGCAAAGTGTACTTTGTCCATACCTGGTATCAGCTCCGCTTGTGTTAAAAGTCAGCATCTCAACAAAAAAGGTGCAAGTGCATTTTGAACAAGCGCTCTGCTAAATTTCACTTCATCATGCAAGACTGAAGACAAAGGAGCACCCATGAGTTTCAGCATGAGCTACAACCTGATTACATACTCAGGGTACTGTGTATTCTGGTTAACAGTCTACAAGCGAGATCATGTTAGAGCATCTTCAGTTCTGCTGTACTAGCTTGGTTATGACACAGCCATTTTGCTATGTCCACATAAATTTGGTAACAAGAAGGAAGAACAGCACTGGTGCCACTGTAATCAACCCAACCACAACATGAGATTCCTGAACGATGCTGCTTTTTACACCTCGATAATCTTGGCAAATACATTTCAGGAGTGGATATATAGACTGGGAAATGGGCAGAAGGGAATACACATTCTGTCTCCTCTTACCATCGTGCACTTCTGCAATAGCATATAGCTTAGTGGAGAAATAGAGCCAACAAAGTGTTATGTCATGTCACTTCTTCAAGGTTACATTGGAAATCAGTGGCAGATACTTTAGAGGTTTACTTTAAATAGAGACACTGTAATTTTCCCCATAGGCAACTGCATGTGTAATGGCAAAAGTCGGGTTTGAATATCACTTCCCCTGGCATTAAATCAGAGACAGAAACGTAAGCCAATGGGAATTATGTTCCTGATACTGATGCCTTTAGAAGTCTCCTGCTCACCTATCAAATTCTGGGGTGACTAAGGGGAAGGGCATCTAATGTCCTAAAGCTCTGCTTGTTTTCGTAAACAACTCCCAAAGTTCATGTGCAGTTCATCTCTTTTTATAACACATATTTAGACAGCCATGTTTTTGGCAATTTTCTATTTTCCGACTGCCAGGCATATTTCTGCACTATAACACCTGCTCTCTTCTAGTTTTTATTCTGAAGCACTGGTGACATGTGTCAGCAGACACTTCTTCTATCTCTAACTGGAGCTTCAGGCGTGGGTATTTGTGGTTGAAAGAAATATTTCGCGTCCTGGAGAAGATGATCCTTCTAGTAGCATGGGAATTTTTCAGTAACAGTAAAGAAAATATTTGTAGAGGTATTTTGTCAGGGCATTCAGAGCTGACTCTAAATAGGAAACAAATTTAATTGCACTTATCTGGTTGCATTATTTTCTAAATGACATAAAAGTTCATTGGAGTGACTGCTGATTTACGCAAGTGTAAAAATGTCCGAATTAGATCTATATACACCAGATCTCTTCTTTCTGAAAGAACATGGAATGAATTTCCTAGGAACACAGGAAACAATCTTTCAGAGAAACGTAAAACTAAGGCAATCTCGGGATTCAAATTCAATGACATTTTTGCCAGAATATTCATATTTCACCAGAACGTTCCAAAACGGGAACTGTGACTCTACTATCAGTATAACTAAGATTGGAACTGATAGGTAACCTGGCATATCCACTTTGTTGCCACATATAAGCAAAATCTTGTATTTTTCTTTTTATCGCTCTTCAGAATTACAGGCTCTGAGGCAGACAGAATCTAGCGACGCAGCAGTGTCCTGTCTGTCTCTGCCCTGCCTGACTCCCACACACTGACTCCCGCTATAGGATGTGGACGTGTTCAGCTGCATGTACTCATGCACCTGTGAGGTGGACTTTGTCCATCAGGCCAGTAACTAAGCAGGGAGAATCTGTTTCCTTTCTTGGCAAGTATAATAAGTGCATTTCTTTGTGAGACCAAGTTATTTCAATTTAGCAAGACACAGAACACTTATTTCTTTGGCTAGATGTTATCTTCCAGCTATGGAGAGATGTCCATACTAATTTTAGTAGTTTTCTCAGCAGCTTTTAAAATAGTGAAAGACAGAACTTCTCTGCAGTATCTGGTGCAAAACAGGTAAGCAGCTCCAATCACTCCCTTCAAGTTGAATGCAGAAGGACATGAAAAACACATCTCGTTTCTCATTGAAATTTCTCTGTATTGAGGTTTGCAGGGGTCCTCACTGTTCTCCTGGCTCATCACAGATTCAAAGACTGTGGGGAGCTTCTAAAATGATTTTGTATGTTTTAATTTCAGATTGTAGCCTGTGCAAAAGCTCCCTAAATGTCCCAAAAGGTCTCAGCTTTGATTTGCTTTGTTGATGTCTGATAGAATCAGGATGAGGAAAGCTCCAGCTATATGCAAGAAGAAACACTGTGAGAAATCAATGGGGTTATAATTGCCACAGGTTAACTCCACCTTTTGTCTCAAGAGGTTCATCCTCACCTTTTCTGATTTCTGAGAAAGAAGCAAATCTTTCCTGATTACTTCCAAGATATATCCAATCTATAAATTCACTGTATTAAACTTTCCTACTACTTTGCAGTAGTACTGTTACTGATACACTCAGTGTAAATCAAACCCTCTCCACTTGTCTTTACTACATAAAAGGCTGAGAAAGGTATGAACAAGTGTGAGTTAAAATCTGAAAGCCCAAAACTACAGATTACATTTAAGTATGATTTCTTCTCTTTCATGGGATTGAGCCAGTAACATTTAAGAAAACTCAAATTATTTTCCTTCCCCCAAGGGAGACATTCAAACAGAAAGCAGCACAAAAAGTCCGACTCCTACTAAGATTTGATATGACAAGTTTAAGCCTCAAATTATTATCCTTTTAATGTACAAATTGCAATTCCATGGGGAAAAAAAAAAGAATTTCTCAAGCAGTTGCTGAAAATTTTCTTACAGCAGTTGCTGAGAGAAAAAACAGCAAAAGGGGCCTTTCCCAGTGATTTGAGAACTATCTTAACAGTTACAGAAATTCACTGTGAAAGGATGATATGCTTGACCATATCTTGCCATAATAGTTTCTAATATGTGGAACCTAACTTTGAGGCAACTGAGCATAAATCAGAGCAGCTTAGAAACTCCTCAAAATTACTTTGGGCTCAACTTGCTCTTTAATCAGGACACCAGGCATGGCTATCTATTAATATCATATATATAGATTATCATTTCCTTTAGGTATATCTTGCTAACTACAAAATAAATAATCCCCTGATAGGAGTAAGTATTTGGATTAAATCAAGGTTAAGTGATTTAACTGATCAAGGTTAGTACAACTGCAGAGTATGCTGAGGGAAAGCTAGACAAACAAGTTGAAAAACACAAGCTTTGTTTAATACTGAATATTGCGAGTGTACTAATTTTTTTTGCTCTCATAAAATAAATTTTATTGCCCGACCTCTGCTTCCCTCTGCGAGGTTTCCCTCAAAACGGTGTCTCTCTGCTATTTCAGGTAGCAGAGCACAACCCAGGCACGGAGCTGAACCGTTCTCACTGGGGAATGAGTTCAGTGAACAGAGTGCTAGCATGATAAATCAAAGGGATTCCTTATTGCCAGGTAGAAAAACAGCTGCTTTATTTATTACTAGATTTTTTATCATGGCATCTGCACAAAAAAATATCATTAATACACTTACTTTTTAAATGATCGCCTTTGGAGAAATCACATTTGTAGGACTCAATGATTTCAACATAGGTTGAATAAAATAGAAAAGAAAACTGAGCTCCATCGGGCGTTTCAGCTGAGATTTTCATAGTGGGAGATCTACGGTTTGTAGGAACTGCCTACGTTCAGTGTGACAGAAAGATCACGAGTCTCTCAGTGCAGCCTCTCACAGGCAAGACAGAGATGTTCAGTGACTACTGATGCACACCCAGGTACACAAGCTTTCCTCACCTATGGTCGCTAGCTCCCAATGACACGGTTAGACGGGGGTCGCTCAGCAAGCCAAGAGTCACCATGTTCATTCAAAACTCGTTTTGAAACCTGGAGAGAGAATCCAGAGCCCTGGCGTCCACAGACTGAAAAATGTTATCTGATAAACTTGGTTGTTAGGAAAAGATGTTTGGCATCAGACAAGGTGACTAGCGTTACTCTCTTCAGCGCAAGTCAGACCGGAGTGTGGCCGATTTTCTAGAGCACAGAGAGAATGCAGCCAGCCTACATCCCTCAGAAGACTCCTCACCTACTCTGATACCTCCTCCTCGTGCATCTCATTCTCAGGGGCTCCAGCTCCTTACACATTTCCAGGTACAGTGCTCTCTATACCAACCATTCTGATTTTGTCCCCTCCATGGTGTCTAATCCACATAATACAGTGCTGAAAAATATTATCATCGCAATCATGCAAAATATATACAAGCTGTGACATACAATTGCGGAATACACATAGAATGGGGTTTTATTATTCATATGTGGCTACACAAATTCTTTTTTTGGGAGTGGGAAGAGAAAAGGAACTGACTCTTCACACCCACTCTGCATATTTTTGTTTTGCTTCAGATTTGGTGCAAATTAATGAATATTAAATTGCTTCCAGTCACTCAAGAATTTTTTATTCAAAAATGATAAAACCAGATGAAGTGAAAAATACCATTTTCTGTTTGCTTACCTGGAACACTGCAGTGAGTGGGTTTCCTATTCAACTGGGTGACTTTTTGGTACATTTTTGCAGGGTTTTTTTGTTTTGGTTTGGTTTTGGCAAATAAGTAGTCTTCAGTGTTTTTACAGCAGTGGCTATGACAGAAACTATGTCTCTTGCACTTCTTATCTTGGAGGGTGGACAAAATAAACAAACTGAAAATAATACTACAATGAACAGTAAATGATGAATGGCTTACAGTACAAAAAACAGTGTAAAAAGGAAGACAAGTTTAAATATTGTTGTGTATGAAAGGGATGAAAATAATACAAGGATGAGAATAAGTAAAATGATAGGCTGGAACATCTGGGAAAGTAAATACAAAGACAAAGAGAACAGTCAATTAATGGAATAGCAAGTCCAAAGTTTCAACAAAATAAATAGTGAATCAGACTATGCTTGTGGAGGGACCAAGTGCCCATCTCCCATTGACTTCAGTAGGAGTTCTGCATGGTCAAGCCCGGAAATGTCCAATTTAGCTATTGCTGTTCTTTGTTTAGAGAAAATACTAACTAGTTTGCTTTAAATTTGTATAAACCCATGCAGTGCTCTGCCTTTAAGCTAATGGGAGCTCTACAAGCTCAGCGCTATTGCTAGATCAGAAAGTGAGCATGCTAAATGCCGTTTCTGTTTGATTTCATGCAATACATGTATAGTAATTGATTAGCTTTAAACTCACTGCGTCTGTGACTTTCTGATACAAGGAAACAAAAGACTAATTAGTCAGCATAGGAATAAGAAATAATAGCTTTCAGCTTCACCTGGCAACAACTTTGACTGTAAACTAGCAGGATAGCACAAAGTAAATTAACACAGCAAGAGACTTACTAAAACATTGGATAATACCACGAGCAATAACAAGATTTGCCAACTATAGGATTGCATGATAAGATCAGGGTAGGTAATTTTCATTATTCACGGCAAAACATCTCGAGTCAGCAAGGAATTTGCTCCCCAAAACCTCTCTGGAACAATTCTACATAAAAATGAACTACAGAAAAAGATGCTAGTCACTGCTGCATGTAAGCAATGACCCATAGGCCTTCAACAAGATATAATCAGTTACAGCAATTCCAATATTCACACCACCGTGTGGCTCTGTGATGCTGTAAAGTAGATTTGTACGGTTTATTTTTCTCTGTGGTTTGTCATATTCTCTACAATTTTGGAAATTTTATGTTTCCTCCTGTTTGAAATTTATAAGATTTTCTTTTCATTCATTTAACAGTAACACAACCACTAAGAAAACAATCACATTCATTTATGTGCCAAAAATGCTGTCTGCATTGCCTTTACTGGCAGTGAAGGCACAACTCTGGCAAACGCAGTTGCAAAGCCAGAAAGGAGTAAAATCTTCCACCTCCTAGAGCATAATTCTTTTAATATCCAGGAGACCAGACTTATTCACAAACAGCCCCATTGGTAGAACAAGGTTTCATATGGCCAAATGAGGATTTAAAATAATTTAAGAAATAGCGATTTTTGTCTGCTGTCTAGAATAAAGAACTTCCACGTGCCGTACAGCGAATTTGAGGCTTAATTCACTTGGCAGAGCCTTTTTACCTGTAGGCTGTAATAAGTAAAAGTCTACCTGACTCACTGACAAAGGTTCATCTGCACTTCGATCATCCGAAGACTTTGGAACTTCAAGTCTGTCGATGAAAGCCTGGAGCTCTTTCCTGAAGGCCTTCATCTGCGCGTTGATCCGGTAAAGAAGCTCATGTTCACGTATTCTGCTGCCATCGTCTTCCTCATCCATCAGTCCAAAGAGGTCTCCGTTAGCCACATAAATTCTCGCCTCTGTTATGATGGTGCTCGTGTCAGAAATCAGGCGATCTATTGTCTTGCCCAGCCGCTCAGCTTCAGAGCGAATGTCCTTCATCTGCTGCCTGTCAGTGAAGCTTTTCTGCCACCCAGATGGTGTCGGATAAAAAGACCTCGTGGGTGTCAGGCACCGAATGTTGCGTACCTCTTCAGAGTCGCTTTCCCCACCGATGGGGCCTTCCCTCTTGCGGTGAGGGGGGCGGGAATCATCATCACTCTCTTTTTTTCCGGCATCGCTCTCCGCATCGCTGTCTCTGGGACTGCCACGGATCCCAAGATGAGAGGCCAAGTCATAGCGTTGCATGTTGGACATTAAGACTCTGTTCTCATACTGGAGTTGCATGACTTTGCCACTCAGCTCGTTGATCTGCATTCGCGCAGCTTTTAGCTCCTCCTGCAACGCTTCCGTCTTGGCATTATCGTGATGCCTGGAGCTCTCATGGGCCCCAGACTTGTACTTGTATTTGTTCAGCTCAGCTGTTATGCGCTTGTTTTGTTCTTCCAAGTCAGCTAAATTTCTCCTCAGCAATTCTGTTTCATCTTCTACTAGCTGCAAATGCTGCCGTAATTCTGACAGGGATTCACTCTGCTCTCCCAAGAGCGGGTTAGCAGTCCCTGAGAAATCATCTCCTCTTAAATCATCAAGCTCTGCTTTCAGTCCTCTATTTTCTACTTCTAATTCCACTATTTTCCTCCCAAGAATGTTAGCTTCCTCCTCCACAAGTCTCAGTCGAAGCTTGAGTTCAGCTTCTCTTGTGGTAGGTGGCCCACCTGCTTCACCTTTTGGCAAGGGACTGTCCAAATCCCCATAAAATGATCTATATTTTTGCAGCTCATGTTCGAATCTGTCTTTCTCTTTATCAATCTTAGCCATTTTCTTCCTCATCAAGGCTGCTTCTTCTTTGACAAATTGTAGCTGGCATTTCAGGTCTTCATTGTCCTCCTTAGAAAAAAGAAAAAGTAGTATTTGAAGAAACTGGACGTAAAACAGTCCACCTCCAGTGGATGGTCTTAAATTAGAGAATTAAGAGTCGCAGGTACATAGTTTTAGATACTAAGAGATTTTCCTGCAATCGTCTTTTCCCTGATCAATAGATTAAAGATAGGGAAATAAATACTTCAATTTAAAAGAGGGGAAAAGACTATTTTACTTGCAACTAAAGTTTGCACAGTCCCCAGAAAATACATTGGGAGGGGCTTGTAAAAAATCCTTATATTTTCTAGGCTTGTAACACTGTAATAAACTATAGTGTTCAAAACTCCTGAAGTCAGCACAAAGGGCCTATAATCTTGTTTCACTGATGCTCCCATTTACTTATTTTGCCTAAAACACAGACTACATGAAAGCTGGTGGGTTCTGTTGGGGCACCAGTGGTTTGTTTATGTGTTTATGTGGTCCTTGACATAGTGTTGTCTCACTGCAGATCTAGGGTAAGAGCTCTCCTTTTCACAGCATACAAGAAAACAAAGAGCAAGGAAACAAGCAAGCAAAGTGCAAATCTACAAACCATGTACATCATTTCCATAGTGTTCCTGAAGCCTCTACATGAGAACCCAGTCTACTGTTATCACAACATACCTCTGTTGGTGTCTGCTGTGACTTTTTTTCTGATTTTGGTAGGTCTTTGCTCCCTCTTCTTTTCAGTGATTGCTGCAACAACAACAAAACAAGATGCATGGAATATTTCACTAAAAGGTGTATAATTCAGTCACTCTTTTAAAACATAGTCAAATGCAACTATAAAGGCATTAATTTCCAGTAAACCTTGAGATATCAAATACAGAGGGGAGACACAGCTGCCCAAAAATGACACAACAATGTTATGCAAGTCGAATATGGGTTTAATCAGTCTATTGACTTTTTTATTCAACACAATTTAAGACTAGTGCATAATGAATGTTTAACACATGACAAGAGAGGTAAGAAAGCAGGTATCCCAAGTGGTATCTTACAGATGGGAAAGCTGAGGCAAGTAGCAAAACCCAGTTGCCCATTTGACATTAACCCTAACGAGATCAAGGCACTTAAAGATGTGTCTAGCCAGACATCTAGCCTTAGCTTAGTGGTAGGCACGCTACATAAAACGATGTCACTGAGTTCTCGGCAGCTGACTTGAGTGTGCATCTACAAGCACACCTTTCTCTGTGTCCCACCCACAGGCTTCAAGCTTGCACTGTATTGTGGTCACACTTCTGTAGGTGCACACTGCAGACAAACTCATACATTGATCTGGTCACTAGGTTTGTTCTGTTTTCAGAACATATTCAAGTAAATACAATTTAAAACTGCTTGGACTATAAAGTCCTAGTCCTTAAGAACAGCACCACACAAACACATGTATGCACCACCATATGAGCTTCTTTGCTGTCTTCTGATCCGCTACGTAGCCAAAGCGAGTAGAAAAGAAACTCCTGCTTTTAGAGCAGGATGCACTGGGATCGAAGCCGACTAGCCTATCCAGCAAAAATCTCATAATTGCTGACAGTAGGAAGTTCGTTACTGGGCATGTGATAGCAGTGGAAAACTGCAACCATCCCACTGTCAACACTCAATACAGATCATCAAGAAAACAGCAGGAGAGAGAAAAGCAAGTGAGAGAATATGATAATACACAACATCCCACTTGCAGCTGTTCCCAGTTTTTATGTTCCCCAGGTAAAATGTAGGCCCTGAGGCAGGGCAGTGATACAACCAACACCATCTCCCTCTGAGATTATTCTCTGGTAGAAGGATCCTTTGTGCTGCTGAGAATCCAACTGTATCTAAAAGCCATTCAGTTCCATACAGTGGGAATTAAAATATGCTCATAATCCTCAAGGAACAGAGTACAGTGGGTGAGTATGTTGTACACAACAATCCTGTGCAATCTTCACCTGCTAGTATTGATTGTTCTCTTTCTTCTGCAGATCATCCCTGTAACAAATACTAAGCTCATGGACTGCCCACTCCAAAGGAAAAGTCAATGCCATAGAAATGACTTCTATATAAATCTCAGCAACCATGAAAGATGATTTCTCATGAGGCTTTTTAATCAAATTCACTATAGAGTTATGCAAGAATTAAGAAAAACAACTTCAGATTCAGAATCAGAACTAAAATTCACAGATGGGTCCATCGAGAATCAGAGTTAAAATGTTAATATCTCTTGCAGAAACATTGAATGCTATCAGTAGACAAAAAAAAATAAATCAAAGATTATTAGATGTGATAGCTAGATAGCTGGACAGGGGGGGTTGGACTAGATGACCTTTGAAGGTCCCTTCCATCCCTAGCCATTCTATGATTCTATGACAGCTGTGAATAACAAGCTTCTAAAGGAATCCAGAAAAGGACACAAAAAATTGTTAAACTAATTCATTTTTTCACTTTAAATATACAGCCAACAGCTTTAGGATCCAGTCTACAAACAAACTGATTCTTCTCCAGGGTCACCCATCAGTTATCCTATTGCAGAAACAGTATATGCATGTGGAGGGTTTTTTGCTGGTTTTCTTTTTGAATTGGCAAATTTTATAAAGCATTAACCTCTCAGAGGAGTAGCTTCCTCCCCTGTATTACCACTCATTATACCACTGTGTATTATCACTTTACAAAACCCTTTCAAATCAGTTAGCACTGCAAACTTCTCCTTGCTCCAGATTCTTGCCAATGGCACCCACTGATAAAATAACTAAGGGCTAGTCAAACTATATTTCGGCTTGATTACCTAAATGTCTTCTATTCACCCTGCCAAGATCAGCATCTCTCCAGATATAATGAGGTTCTGAAATGCTGAGCTGCAAATTCATGTGTACCCTACAACTTTTCAGAAGGCAAGAGACGTATAAAAAATTATCCCACGACAAAATAAAAAAGAAACTACAAAGAGTGAAAAGTATTTTTCTAGATTTGATATAAAATGAAAAATCTATTTATCTCCTTTCTCTATATAATCTTTTTTGTTCCTTTTGGTAGTCAGGATAGCAACATTTTAATTACAACAATAGTTGTGGCTATGTAATGACTAGGTACTACTTTCTCTTCTGCTCCACTTGAATTACAACACACCATG